CTGTTCCCCCCCCCCCCCCCCCCCCCCCAAAAAAAAACAGTGTAACCCCCGTACACCCACAGGGGCCTTCAGAGTGGCAGAGCAGATCCTGGCCTGCACTACAGCAGTGTAGGCTGCAAGCGAGTCCCTGCACTTGGTGTATGCACCTCACTCCAACAAAAGCTCGGGACTGGTAGAACAATGGTATGGGTCATTCACCACAACAGTTATAGTCCCAGCTTATGGGCATCGCAGACACTGCTCTGTCCTGTCCGCTGGCTCTGGGTTCCTTTGAGATACATTGCTCACCCTAGTTCCCAGAGCAGGCCTATGCCAGATAGGTACAATCTGGCTCATCAGTAAGAGACAAGAAGCCAGAAAAATAAATTCCATTTTGAAAAAAACTATGGCGGTTTCAGTCTCTAGTTTCATTCTGCAGTGAGATAATACAGAGCACTTCAGCTTTCTTACAAAAAAATCAGAGTTGTGGAAGACATACCCCAGAACTGCCTTACCGGGCAATACTTATTGCAGTGTGTAGGAAGACCTGCTGACATAAAAATCCTAGACTTTTTTAATGGAAATTTCATTGTAATGCATGGATTATGACTCCAGTTCTAGTGAAACGTCAGATGCAAATGAAAGCCTTTTGTAAAATAAATTACTTTGCTCTCAAACATTTCCACTTACCTATGGTTGAATGAACTATCTACCTCTTTCCTCAACCCCATGCACTAGATGCACTAAAACCCATTCAGATATACCATGTGAGAGAGAGTTTTTTGAAATATGATGACATAGTTGTCTTATGACTTAAAAATATGCGACGTGGCTAATCCTTGAGGAAAACCTCCCTGTTCTCAGACTGGGATAGCAGTACCACTTGGGAGAGCAGCTACATGTTAGATAATGTATTTAGGCCAAGTTTCTCCCACCTTTGCTTTCGCTGAGTCTGTCTAAGGCTCAGTGCAGACTTCAAAAGAAGTCTGAGAAGTTGGCAAGTGCTCACACAGCTTGGCTGCACTCAACTCCAGGCTACCCCAACTCTACAGCTGGTTATGCCCAAGGCAGATAATTCAAAGCTAATTGGAGCATGTCAGCATAACCTGCCTTCTCACTTTTCACTGCAGTGTAGGCATTACCCACTGTTTCAAGGTGCTGAGGGGGTAGTGATGGGGGAAGCAATTGTCTTTTAAAAGAAGGAGAAAAAGAGGGATGAGATAGAATAGGTCTCTAATGTTGTGTGCCAGTGGTAAGATTTTGCAGATGCAAATATATTTATCTCAGAAAGGCTTGGTTTTAAACAGCAAACTGGGGATTAGAACAGCTACGGTGAGACAATGTAGCGAACCTTTTAGCCGGAAGATGGCAAGCAGGCTTGGGAAAATAAAAGAAAATCATCATAAGAATAACTCTTCTCTGATCTCGTCCAAGGGTATTGACACTAGGGGACATCACAGCCCCTGTGAAACAGTGGTTGTCACCTCCCATGGAAGAGAGAAGGAACTTGTAGGGCTGATCTTACCCAAGATCACACAGAAAGTTCATGGGAGAGCTGAAAATAGACTCTCAGCCCCCTAAATCGCAAGCCTCTGAATTAATCACATGAGCAAAGGACCTAAACACAGAAAGGGAAGGAAAGGACCCCGTTACAGAACAGGGGACACTGGGGGAGGAGGAAATTGGCTTGTCAGCAGAAATCTGGAGAGCAATGAAGAGCATGAAGTATTAGAAGGAGGAAACTAGTGAGGGGGGAGGCAAAAGGAAAAGAAAGCAAGAGACACCAGAACATCAGCTGTTGTAGCAGCTAGTATGTAAAAACCAGTTGGCTTTAGCACAATACAGCCATCCAGCCCGCAACTCTGGGAGTGATCGCCTAACTACCTGCTAAAAATCACAGCAAGATCCATAATCTTTCATAGTCTCAGGAGAGCCAATCAGATAAATGGATTTGTGGGTAAAGCCTCCATAAGCCTGTGGGTTTGGTTTCTTTTAATACTATAAAGTACAAAAATAAACTTTCTAGTTAGCAAAATATGGCTTTTGTTATATTCTGAGTCACTTTTCCCCAAGCACAAACAAAGTGGTTTTTCAGCTTGAATCCTGAACATTTTGGAATCATGTGTTTTGCTGAGGTCCTAAAGCAGATTGCAGCTACTCCAAGTGCTACTTCTTAGTAAAGAAAACATACAGTGGAGATACAATGGGAATACTCATGTGAACAGACTCTCATAGCCCAAATTGTGCGTAATACTTTATAATTAATACTAGCATTTGCAGAGAGTTCAGCTGATCTCTCATTTGTCCTATAATCCTCAATACCATGATGATTTAGGCTTTCAGACAGAAGCCTGGAATTTTGTTTCTAACTCACTACAAGCCTGTCACCGATGCTCCCTATTTCCTAACACATGTTTTGAGAGACAGCATATGCCATTATGATGGTATACCGTTGTCACGCTATACTCAGGAATTCCTGCACTGATCCAAAGCCCACTGAATTCAATGTTTCTCTTGACTTTCTTGGATGAAAACTAGTCCATGTTAACTTTGCATTCTGTCTTTAATGCATTTGTGTTGCAATGTTAGGCATTTTTTTTTGTACTGTCTTTTTAGAAATGTGGAAGAGCCCCTGCTACGTTCGTAGGAAGATAACTTTAAGATGCAGCGTTCCATTTCATTACTGAGAAAGATTACCTAAGAATTGTGATCTTGCTCTAGTCCCTCAGGAGCATCCCGGATGCTGGTTTTTATTTATTTTGTTTCATCTATAGGAAAATCTCTAAAGTTAAACTGCAGTCAAGCTCTAATCCAACAATAAGGACATCCCTCTTCAGACAAGATAGTGCTTGGCTGTAAGAATTCTTCCAGAATGTGATGCTAACAAGGTTACAGCAACCACCGTGGCTGAATGAAGCTGTTCAAACATCTCAAACACAGATTAAATTAAAATAATAACCCAAATCCTAGTCTGCTCACACAAAGCAGCAATGAAATTTGTACCTGATAGAGCTATGGACACTCAGAAGCTAAGATTTAAAGGAAAACTGGTGGGGCACAATTTCAAAAACTGTAAGCAGGTAATGAGGTAGGCAGAGTCACAAACAACATCTTGCCTAATTTATATGCCAATTATTAAAATTGTGCATGCAGCTCCCATAATCAAAACTAGCAATTCACATGTACAGTTACTTAGACTGGGTGCAGTAGCAGTAACGATATATGAAAATTAGATGCAAATTTTACATACACAATGGCAGGATCCAACCTACTCTATTTGTATTCAACTTTCTAATCAAGGGTCTCATTCTGCTCCCAGCAAAGTCGGTGTGGATTTTACCACTGACATTAATGGAGAACAGGGAGCCAGGTCCAAGCTTTAGCTTTGTGTTATTTTCCCCTGCCAAGAAATGGCACTGCTGCTTTAACCAAATAACCAATCAGCCAGTTCGCCAACAAACTCTGTCCACCTACGAATACTCAGGACGTGTTCAAACAAAGCTTTTCTCAAACTTTTATTCAGTCCTAATAGCTAAATCTACTGGGCTCACAACAAAGAAACGACATTGTTTCACTAATCAATGTACTACTGTTCATCTAGAACATCTGCAATAGTTTTGCCTGCAGCACTACCCCATTCATTATACTTCTTGATAGACTGTTCAATAGGCTTTTTTTGGTACAGACTGTACAAAAGAGTTTTACACAGAGGAATTTGCACTGATATGAATAATAAAAAAGATTTAAAAAGTACATTGTGTTTCAGTTTCTCCATTTTCAACTAACGTTTGGCAAATGGAGGCAAATGGCAAAAGTCTTGAATGACAGCTCACCCCTTGTCATGAAGAAACACAGAGGTTTGCTACAGAACACGGAAGCACTCGGGTTTTTCAAGTTGCCAAACTGTGTTGCCATCTACCAAAAATGCAGCTGATCAAAGGCTCTTACATTAAGAACATATAAAACTATGAGCAATGGGTCCACACCCTGTCAAAATGAGGCCACATTATTTTTGTACAGAGAACTGCATATGAAATGTATGTGTAGTAAAGGCAAAATAAAGAGTGCTGCTTACCATCATCCAGATATGCCTGGTCCAGATTCTGTTCCTGCTTAATGGTGACTCCAGCTGGTAATACTTCTTTCTGATCGCTAACTGGTTGTCCATTTTTTGCTGCTCTCTGGCTTGTGGCCGTCTGTTGCTGAATCACGGTTGGATATGAACTTGGACTTATCCTTTGTGCTTGACTGACCTGAGGCTGGCTGGGTCTTGCTACGTTGGACGTAAAATTTTCACAGCATGTGATATGCTGGAACTCTTGATGGCTTCCACACCTCAACTGCTGATTGGTTGGAGAATAGTGAATCACAGGAGAAGATTGTTGATTGGCTGGAGAGTGATGGAGCACTGCCGAGGTTTGGCCTGGGGAACCAGCATGCACCAGCACTGATCTGTGTGCATCTGAAATAGAAACCTGTGTGGCCATCAAACTGGATTGCTGGTAGCCCAACTGGCTTGGACTAAGGCTCTTGCTTCTTTGGTATATTACAGCTGCTGGGTTTTGCTGGTGGTATCGAGAATCAGGAGAAGACAGGCCTGAACGCAACTGCTGGCAGGAAGCCATAGTGGCCACAAGACAGGAAGGGGATTCGGTGACCATTGTGTGCTGTGAATAGTAAGGCTGTGTTACAGTTCCCAGACCACTGTGTACTGTGTTGCAGATTAAGGCTGGATCATAGTCATCAATGGGCTCTGTTTTGATTGATGGCACTAAAATAAAGCATGCAAAGGACATTATTCTTAACAAGCTGCTGAGAACAAAGTTTTCCTTGAACTAACAGGAGACTTTTAGCATTAATAGAGTGTGTGGGGGTGAATGGTCATATTCACACAGAGCAAACTAAACTACAGTCAGTGGGGAGTCTCTCTGCAAAGCACATAGTATTAAGATGGAAAAAAAAAAAGCCTATTAGCTGAAAACTTAAGGCTAAGTTTCTCAAGGCTAAGAAATTCGGCTTGGCTTATTTTTAATTTTGTCACTTAGATTTGTTTTTTGGTTCAGTTCTGCAACTTTCAATTCCAGGTAGCACCACAAGCAAAAGAAAAATGAACCTACATAAACCTATCTTCCTCATAGTATTTCCAGCCCTAGTGAAAGGAAGGATTAATGGAAATTTAAGAAAACATACCAAATTTGTCAGATGTTCTAGCCCTGTTTCTTTAGTCAAGTGGCTAATTTCTGCCCTGAAGGAAGATCCTACTTTTGACCCAAAGAGCTTTCTTTGAGACCCATCTGCTAGAAGGTGCTCAGCTCTCAGGAGGCTGAATCTTAGTGCAGAGGGACGTTCTGCTAAGAACAGCACTATATACAAAAATAAGAAATGAAATCTTACTTTTAAAAAAGTTAGATTTTGAGACTCTTTTTGAGAGAATGGCATATTTAAAATATAAATTCAGTCACACAGCAGCAAGGACTCTGCTGCAGGTTGACAATATCCTCCCTATAACATAGGGTATTGATACAACTGAGGTTAAAAAAGAATGAAATGAGTTGTATCAAGTAAGAGCTGTCTGGAACTTCACCCACACTTAGAAACTAGTAGCTAGTAGAAGAGATGCTTGAAACAGTTTGGATGGTAACATTTTGTGCTTCCTGTTTTCCAAAATGAAATACTGATTTTCTCACAGCATTCAGTCCCAGCCAAATCTAAGGAATGCTGGGAAGCACATACATGACTCGGTTGTATTTATTATAAGAATTGCTCATCAAATTCCCAGAAGAAAGAACTTCAGAGAAACTCTCAGACTTTTCTGCCATATCTGAACTGGCCATACACTGAAGAATATATCTGTCTTCTCTTTCCCTCGATACTGCAGTTACATGTTACTTTCCCAGCTCTGATGTTAATATACAGTGTAGATGAGGAAAACTACTGTCATTGTTTCCGCAGGGCACTAAGATTCGACTGCTGCTGTCACAGAAAGCAACTGACAACTCCTACTGAATCCACTGTCTAGCTATCTGATGGCAAGTCCCCTTACATATATAGGAAATTCCTATTCCAAATCACTTGCATTCTTTAAACCAAATAGTATCTGCTTATTGAGGATGAACTATTCATTATATTAGTAAAAGTCAGATCTTTAGTTAATGAAACATGAAGTAACAAAATGCAAAAATCTTCTTGGAAGAAATTCATTCCAGTTGGTCCTCTCCTGAGAATTACCTGGGTGAAATGTAAAATGTTGTGGCTGGCTTCTTTTTCTTTTCCCATTGATGACATAGAAATTCACCTTCACAGGCGTACGAATGTGCTTGTTACGATACTCTGGTATCTCTACAAAAAGCATGCTCTGGAATAATGAAGGGTGAGGAGATGATATTAGAAAGTGAGGTCCACAGGCAACTACTCCAGGGGATACATAGCCATAGAGGAAGGAAAAGGATTTTCCCTGTTCACCAATAAACAGGGGTATGGGAGGAAGGAGGGAAGGACGGGCTAGGAGAGAAACATTTTTGATGTTAGGAAGCTGGCTGTTAAATGTCACATCCTCTTTGGTACCTGTTGATGTTGTCCTGCACGTGAAGACAGAAGGCTCAACTAAATATAGAACACACACAATAGTGATTAATGCTAAACTGCTATGCACTGGATAAACATGAGTTTTACATCCTGATCCCACATGCATGGAAGTCAATGGCAACGATTGCATTCACGTCCATTGGAGCAGGTAAGGAACACTGCACTTTAAGGGCTAATTCTTAGAGGCACTCAATGAACACCGCATGGGAGGCAAGGGTCCTATCACGTTGTGAGATCAGGCCTAAAATATGAATAAAGCACCTCAAAGAATGCCATCCTGCAAAACGGTCAGCACTCTTGATTCCCACTGAAGGGAAAGGAAGTTGGAAGTGCTCAGTACCATACAGAAGATGCTCAGCGTCTCTCAGGACTGAATGGGTAAAGTACAGCCTGAAGCAATCTCACAATGGCTACTGGTGTTTCTATATACTACGGGTTACTGTAAAATGGAAATGGGAATAGATTCCATTTGCAATACAGTTCTGATGGCAGCACTTGAAGCTTTCCATCACAACAATGGGGAGGATATTCCCCTTTCTGGAAGCTTTTCCCACTAGCCATTGAATGCAATCTTACATCTGAAAAGCTGGGAGTGGAAGACATGCGTTGTTCAGCATACTTACAGGCTGGCTCTTGTCTTTATCCACGGTGGCCTCCATCTCCCAGATCTGCTGCCCATCTGAAAGTAATGTTACAGGATTAATCTACCGGAAAACATGACCAGAAACCTGACTTTAAAGACGACAAATGATGCATGAAGGCCCCCATGGAGCAAAGCAGGCTTCTAACTGATAATAAGTTCATGCTTGTACACTTTGCTGCACAGGAATGCACACCTACACATGCTTAAAGTTAAGCACTTTGCTAAACTGAGGCCTAGGCTGATACTTCATATGTGAATAACTGGAATGTTCAGCACCAATAAAACTTCTGCTTTTCAGCAAGACCCTGATTTCAGCCAGCTGGATTGACTGAGGATATAAGGAGGTCAAATGACTTGTCCAGGGTCAACTGTGAGTCAGTGGCTCAGCAGCGCAACCCTGCTAAATCTTCATTCTTAGTTTTAACCACAAGACCACATGATCTTCATATTCTATATTAACATCCTTATATTATTGACAGGAGCATTGGGGTGTGTGTGTGTGTGTGTGTGTGTGTGTGTGTGTGTGTGTGTAAAACAACCCTCCTGTCAATAATATATAAATAAAACAATCCTGTATATATCCACACACACACAAGCACACTAATATTATAGACAGGATTGTTTTACCACACAGAAGATGCCAGACAGGATTGTTTTACCATGCAATCCTTCTGTTGATAATGAAAGTGTGTTTATATGCGTCTCACCTGATTTGGATACCCTAGTTTTTAGGGGGGCAAACTGAGAAAATTGGGGTTTTACATTGACAAGTACTGAGCACCCACAGCTCTCATTTGAAACCCATTTTGAGGGGCATTGTGAGTACATCTCAGCTCTGAATAGGTTTTTTTTTAGCAGTAGTTGTTGTAGGTCATAGAGGCAAACTCTTAATATAATTGGACAAGTGGTTATTAGATATTTTATTTCATTGTGCTGTTTTTATCCTCTCACTGATTTATGGTAGTTTCTGGTAGGTGGAGAATAAAACCTTGCTATCCACCTGTCAACTACACAGAAATAAAAACAGACCTACAGATGGAAACACACCTTTTCTATGCTAGCACTCCAGACTTCCAGCAACTCCCATAGGCATTTGCTGTCTGCATTATACAGTTGTAAAGGACTGGGAACATACTGTCTATGCTCTAGTTGCGAATAAATCCATCACAAATGCAACAGTCTGTGCCACTGAGCCACAGGCACTCTTTCTGCTGTTAATTATACTTGTGCAACTCAAGTTTGAGAAATTTCCCTCCCTAGAATCATCATCTGAGTAGCCCAGCATTGTGTGTATTAGTGTCCCTCCACTGAAAAATGGCAGGGTGGTGCTTTAAAGCTCATTTAATAAGCTTTAGTTCAACATGCCCTAGCTCCATTTTTCAGTGGATGGACACTGATACACATGTCGCTCCTAGCATTTTTAATTAGCATGGCTCTCAGAGCCTTCTACCCTTCCAGAGCATGCTGATAAACGCCCTGTATGTGAAATATAAGATGGTAAACTAAAATTTATTTTTGCTTGAGGTCAGAAATTGAAGTAAATATTGTAACCTTCAAGGATAGACCACAAGAAGTGTAAAATGCTTAAAGCAGTCTGCCTGTTGTTATATCTTTACTAGATGCAGTGCATTCTTGCTTCTGGATCACCTCTCAAATGACCGCACACACAAAATAATCTTCCTACAACAGCAGTGTAGTAATTCTATTTAGAGGTGATGTTATTGTGCAATATTCTATACTGTACAGGCTGCAGAGTGTTTACATCCAACTGTGCATCCAGATTTAATGTATCCACAAGCAAATCAAATTATTGCCCGTGTAAATGCAGTCCATTCAGGAGTTTTGCATGTGCAGTTATAATAGCAGAATACAAATTGGGTATACTCAATTCAGAAGATTCCTGTGTTTTCCAGTTTTTGAATTCTAGCTCTTAAACGTTCAATATATTGCATTCAATAGACTTTAGTCTCATGATTTACTTTAAAAGCATCAAAGGATATTAAACTCTTCTAATTCATTTCTGAAAATTTGGTTTCAAAATGAACTGGGTATCCAGATCACAGGTGACCTGGAAAATTGCTGCCAAACTCTTCCATCAGCTCAGGGTGCTGGAGATGGGGGAGATCTCTGGGTACAGTTTGGTTATAGGATTTTTCTGGAGCTTGTATGCCTAAGGTCTGCAAAACGAGGGTGGCAAGCTCATTAAACGAGAACTTCTCACAAGACTTCTTATTTTTCCTGCTGTCTGGAAATTTTGCAAGTGCAGCCTCTGTCTTGTGTTATTTAGGTACTTCTGCTTCTGGCCAAAACAGAAGCAAAGAATGAAGGAAAATAAAAGGATTTTTTTTTCCTCACCACTTTACTTCACTTGTCACCTTCCCTGCAACCCATGGGACAGGTCAATTCACCCCTGCTTACCATTCTTACTGCTGAAGAATATGGGAAACTTTGGGTTGCTGCACTGCAAATACTACCTGGCCTGTGCATGTTCCCTTTCAGCAAGGAGCAGTAACAAGTGATGCCAGTTCCCTATACTATGCCAGATAATAGAGTCCTGCTCAGGTGTAAGAAGAGGATTTGCCTTTTGACTAATAACAAGCTGTATTTGTCGCAGTGCAAATCCATGGGCTTCCATGGAGTTGCATCAGGGATGAATTTAGCTTGCTGTGTTTATCGTCTATACTTTTTATCCAGTGGCTTCCAAGCCTTTATTAAACGTGTTGTGAAGGCAAGGGACAGATAGAGAGAGGAGGAAGAGATCCCTAGGCTGAAATGAATTTGCGGTCTAACAGTGCACAGCATCAACACACACGAGAAGGCGGAGACTGCAGAATACTTGGCCAGTTGGACGTGCAAGGAGATTGATACTGGCAGAAGGGAATTACCACAACTGGAATTACCTAAGTGCTATTACTATGGCTAGCACTGAATTCTTAACAGGGCAAGGCTGTGACTCAAACTGCATGCTCAGACGGGGTAGTAAGATGCAGAAGGAGCTCCTATTTACACCCAGTCTTAAACTACCTGGATCTTGGGCTAGGATGTGTAAGCATAACTCAGTCCTTTCTCCCTCGCTGCAGCGAGAAGGCAGAGGGGAGCAGACAATGGCTGGAGGGTTGGCTCCAAGTAGCCGAGCCAGAGCGGAGTGTGTGCAGCCTGATTCGGTTACAACCCAGCCGTAAGCCATTATCCTCTCCTCCCCCACAGGCAGCAAGGAGGTGGCAGGGGTGAAGCTGTGACTCAGCGTGTCTCTGACTCACGGTGCCTCCTGGGGCTGCTCTCAGGGTTGTACAGTTTAGACACTACCCCCTGCTTGGAGCTGTGCCTAAAGACACAATCTAGCCCTTTGTCTAAAATCTAGGGAACCGTAGTTGAAAAAAATGCATGCCCGACACCAGGGTGCTCTGAACAATCACAACAATGGCATGCACAAGCCCTGCTGGTTACCCGGACAGTGCCGTGGGGCACTTCAGCACCTTTACTGGACCAGGCGAGGGTGTGCCAATAGAGCAGCACTGCATGCCCTCCCTAAACCCCAAAATGGATGTCATGGAGCCGTTTCCAGGAAACACAGGGGGTGGTGACATGACATCCTTTTGAAGGGCAGCATGAACGGAGCGGGCAAGCCATGCCATAATGCATGTTAACTCATGGCTGCATGCAAATTAACCATGCACGTGTGCCTAGGGTCTAAAAATCCATGCCCAGGTGTTTACATTTTCTTCCTGCTGGTCATCTTCAGCACCCCTGAAGGTAATTTTTCTGCTATTATGGTGCAGGAAGAAATCGCTGAATAATTCCCTCTTGGTTTGGAGTATTCGTGTTCCTCCAAAGTGAGTCAGTTGCCTTTTTTTTTTTTTTTTTTTTTTTTTTTTTTCCAAAACATGCAAAAAAG